ACATAACCTGGTAGCTATCCTATCCCTACAGCTCCTGAAACACAGCATGCCCCTAAATAATGTTTGTGAATTAAATTAGTTAATAGCAAGCAACATGTCATCAAGCCAAAGAGAAAACTGCACTTGGAGTCAGAAAGAGCTCAATTCAAATGCTTGCCCCCTAAAGCCGGTATAGGCAATCTTACTTACAAATCAGAAATAGACACATAGATGTAGAGAACAAATGTATGTCTACCGAGGGGGTAAAGAAGGTGGGAAGAATGGGTAATTGGGAATGAAACATATATACTATCGATACTATACATACAACAGGTAACTAATGGGGACCTGCTGTCCAACACAGGGAACTCTCCTCAGTATTTGGTGATGACCTAAGTGGGAAGGAATTCCACAAAAGAGGGGGTATATGGATATGCATAGCTGACACACAGGTCATATGGTCAAAGCTATGGTTTTTCCAGTAGTCATGTACAGATGTGAGCGTTGGACCATAAAGAAGGCTGAGCACCAAAGAACTGATGCTTTAAAACTGTGGTGCTGGAGAAAACTTTCAAAGGTCCCTTGGACGGCAAGGAGATCAAACCAGTGAATCCTAAAGGAAATCAATGCTGAATATTCATTGGATGGACTGTTGCTGAAGGTGAAGCCCCAGTACTTTGGTTACCTGATGCGAGGAGCTGACTCATGGGAAAAGACCCTGATGCTTAGAGAGATTGGAGGCAAAAGGGGAAGGGGTCGCTAGAGCATGAGGTGGTTAGACAGCATCACTGACTCAATGGACATGAATTTGAGCAAACTCCAGGAGATAGTGGACAGAGGAGCCTGGCTGTGCTACAGTCCATGGGGTGACAAAAGAGTTGGACACAACTTAGTGACTGAACAACAACAATAGCTGATTCACTTTGCTGTAAGGTAGAAACTATCACAACATTTAAAGTGACTATACTCCAATAAAAATTAAAAGAAAAAGCTTGCCCCTTTCCTGCCTCCACTGCTAGTTATATCACCATGGGCAGATTTTTGGCTTGCTTCTTAATTGCCCAGTCTTTAAAATGGACCATCTAATAAATCCTGCAGTATGCTAGAAGAGTATTCAGTTAAATTAAAGAATTCAAGGTTCCTGTCATCCCAAAGACACAAAAACTGAAGCACTAACATTATTGAGTATTATTATTACCTTTGATACCAAACCCTTTAGATTTTGCTGTGGTTTTCACCCTGTCACATTAGACACCTTCTCACTGCTGACATTCCGTCCAGGCGATCCAGCTAGAAGCCAGTCTCTTGGCACGACCTCCTGCCACCCAGCTTTCCTAAAGCCTCCACTGGCCACTAAGCTCCTCTCCACATGGCTGGCTGGTCTGTCAGTTCAAATTGCCCAATTCAACTGACATCACCACAGCTTGCAAATTCCAAAATCACTGTTGAGTACTTTAGATTTGGTCATGTTTATGCCTGGCCTACAAACTGGTCCACTGTGTCCTTATTTATAGACAACTTGCAGCATGCAATGTTTGAAGAGGCTTCAGAGTCCACCATTCAAAAATACTCTGGAGATAGATTTTCACAGCAATCAAAAACTAAATAGGAAAACCGAGAAAGTGATGTCTGTGCACTGGTTACTTCCAAAAGGTACTAAGAACACAGGGGTGCAGATAGAGCAGGATTAGTTTTCATGCTCAAGGATACTAGTTCAGAAAGATAGATTCCTTTCATGATGGCCATCCTCCCTTGGTTGAGGCACTATCCTGGGCAGTATATAATTTATCTCAGAATGAAATAAATTTTCCCCAAAGTCTCATGCATTCTATATGAATTGGGTAAAGTGTTTCAGTAACCTTCACTTTTCTACACTCTACAATCCACCCCAGGCTATAGCAATTTCTAATGAGAAGGACATACTGGGTCCTGTATATCTGTGTGTGTGTGTGTGTGTGTGTGTGTGCACGCACGTGTGTGCTGTATGGCAAGTACTATGGATTGAGTGTTTGTGGCCCCTACAATTTATATATTGTAGTCCTAATTTCCAGTGTGTGGATATTTGGAGGTGGGGCCTTAGGAAGGTAGTTAGGTTTAGTTGAGGTCACAAGGCTGGAGCCCCTAAAGTGGGATTAGTGTACTTTACAGGAAAGGAAGAGACCACAGCTTGCACTCCTTCTGCCAAGACAGGACAAAACAAGAAGGTAGCCGTCTGCAAACCAGCGAGCAGACTCTCATCACACACCAGACTGGCTGGCACCTTGATCTGGGACTTCCTGCTTCCAGAGCTGGGGGCAATAAATGTTTGCTGCTTAAGTCACCCAGTCTACTCAAGATAGCAAGTGAACATATCACAATCCCGAGACTACAGATAGGGGACAGGTTAGAAAGGAGAAAGGATGCCCCTGAGATGATGAGGAGGGCCAGTGGCCACCCCAGAGGAAGCCACCATAGGCCTGAGGAATTTGCTGTGGTCACCAACAGGGCACCCTGCCACACCGCACCAGGGCCTTGCCCTCATTTTCCGTAGTAAGTCAGACAGCAAGCATCCTCTGACAGGACCAATGCATTGCCCTGGGATCAGCATTTTAGGTGGGAGTAAGATTCATCCTCTCTTCCCCCAGAGGGAGAAGGCTTTTTGCTCATCCTAAGGGTTCCATGCAAACTCACAATGGTGACATTTGTTGAGCAGTGGCTTGAATAAAGGGCTCTCAGAAAGCAAGAGGGTAACACAGAGCCTGAATGGGTCTGCCAGGGCACCACGCCCCAGGAATGCTCAGGAGGCACCCGGAGCCTCCCAGGGAAGGAGAGAATTAAGGATGTCCTCAAAAGGGGAGCGGTAAGGCCAGGGCTCCATTTGCCAAAACTGAAATGTGGTAAACAAAACATTGCCTAAAAGAGGCTTGTACAGAAATAAACCCTTCATTTGGTTCTAAACTATTTTTCTTAAATGCCAGGTAACCTTCAGTACTCCCCTTTCAAAACAAACAAAAAAGAATCAGAGAAAAGGATTTACCTCTTCCTACCCTACCCGCCCCCCCCCCCCCAATTCACTACAGAATCAAGATGCTTTTATTTTAACAGTGGTTTGGGGGTTAATCCTTTCAATACTCCTTTGGTCTTGTAAATATAAACAAACAAACAAAAAACCTCTGAATTTTAAATTACTATAGGTATCACTAAAAGACTGTCTTGGATTTTCTTTGTCTCTCTTTGGGGGTAACCATTCTGTTCTTCGGGTGGCTAATATTGCAACAAAAACCTAGTTGAGGGTTATCTAGAAAGGTTTTGGTGTTAAGAGTCTGAACATTCCCTTGGCACCCTACACCAAAACATTTTACCCTGTAGTCAATTTTGTTTCTCTCACTTTAAGTCCAACTGCAGGAAATCTTTTGGAAAATCGGACCAGTGACTTTTCCCCGACAAGACACCAGAATCCTGCAGGGTGCATCATCACTAAACAAAAAATGAACACATAAATCCAGTTCCTGCAAACGTTCCATCATCTGAGGCTAACTAACTAACTGCCTTTCTAACTAATCATCTAATCAACTAACTGCCTTTCATTCATCAAATTAAACATTTAAAGTATCACCTAATTCATTCTAGAATTGATGCAAGTTTATACCTTGAATGACTTCCGCAACAGCAGAAAAACCAGAGATCAATTTGATTGTGCAGCTGCGGACGCTGAGCTTCCTCTTTCACCCCAAATTTCCAGACCGTGTTACAAGCCGGGTGTGGTTTTATGAGGGTGGGAGGGTTGGGGGACTGTCGAGAGGGACCAGAGAGAAGGGTGCAGGGGAACTTGGCAAGAAGAACCTCCCCGGAGGGCATTTGTGATGCCCAGGACCCGCGTTCGGCGCTTACAGAACGTGTGCAGAAGTTTCTTACTACGGAGAAGCCTGCGTATCGAAGCAAAACCTGGCTTTGGCGAGTTCTTAAGAACTCAGGGGCGCGCTAGTCTTCACACAGGCGAACTGCTCACCAGAAAGCTGAGGCCCGGCTCAAAGTTGGGTAAAACTTCGAACAAACGGTGCGCGCGGGCCCAGGGAGGCTGGAGTCAGTCTCGTCTAACGGTTTCCCGTACCGCTAGCAGCCCTCGGCGGGACAGCCGGGTGCAGTGACTCAGAGCCAGTGACTCAGCGACCCCACCCTTCTCCCCCGAGCTTTCCTCGGCCGCCGCCTCGAAGCGCGCACCGTCCAAAGGGGACCCAGCCCGTTAGGCCCCTAAACAGGAATTCCCAAGACAAGAGGACTAAGAGAGACGGGGTCCGCATCGGATCCCCTTTCGAAGCAGGCTGTGCACACACTCCTGCGCGGGGCCCGAGCCCTGCGTGCAGAGCTGTGCGCGCCCCCACCTCGCGCTCCAATCTCAGGCCCTCTTTGTTTCTTTCTCCACGCCTCCAGATCTGCGGGATCCTGCACTCCCCCTCCTCCAGCTCCTTGGCCCGCGGGGCTCCGCACCCACCCTCTCCCAGTAAAGCGCAGCCCAGTTGCGGCGCGCCCCTCCCACCCGCGCGCTTCCTCCTCCATCTCTTTGGCGCTGAGCCCGGGACCCCTCTGGTCTAGTCCTGGCGGGTTCCCCCACCACCACTGCGCGACCCCTCCTTTATCAGCACCCAGAGGTGAGCAGAGCTCGGGCCACCATCAGGAAAGCCCCTGAAAGTCCCAGCCCAGCTAAGAAGTAACGGGACTGTGCTCAGTCCCGGATGGGGAAAATGGGGGAGGAGGACGGCTCCGGGGCGCCCCCGCCCCAACCCCCCGCCCAGCCTTCCCCATTGGCTGGCGCACTCAGTCGCCGGGATGGCAGTGGGAGGGAACCCTCTCACCTCACGCGGTTATAAAAACTGCGCCCCGCGCGGGGTCCGGTCCTCTGCCACTCTCGCTCCGGGGTCCCCGCGCCAGAGACGCAGCAGCGCTCCCTCTGCCCACACCCGCCGCGCCCTCGCGCTCGCCTCTCCTCCCGGAGTCAGTCCGTGCTACCGCAGTCGCCCAGTCCACCGCCACCCTCTGCAGCCATGTCCACCAGGTCCGTGTCCTCGTCCTCCTACCGCAGGATGTTCGGCGGCCCCGGCACCGCGAGCCGGCCGAGCTCCACCCGGAGCTACGTGACCACGTCCACCCGCACCTACAGCCTGGGCAGCGCGCTGCGCCCCTCCACCAGCCGCACCCTCTACACCTCGTCCCCCGGTGGCGTGTACGCCACGCGCTCCTCGGCCGTGCGCCTGCGGAGCGGCGTGCCCGGCGTGCGGCTGCTGCAGGACTCGGTGGACTTCTCGTTGGCCGACGCCATCAACACCGAGTTCAAGAACACCCGCACCAACGAGAAGGTGGAGCTGCAGGAGCTCAATGACCGCTTCGCCAACTACATCGACAAGGTGCGCTTCCTGGAGCAGCAGAACAAGATCCTGCTGGCCGAGCTCGAGCAGCTCAAGGGCCAGGGCAAGTCGCGCCTGGGGGACCTCTACGAGGAGGAGATGCGAGAGCTGCGCCGGCAGGTGGACCAGCTCACCAACGACAAGGCCCGCGTCGAGGTGGAGCGCGACAACCTGACCGAAGACATCATGAGGCTTCGGGAGAAGTAAGGCGGCGCCCACGCGGGGCTGAGGGAGGGATGAAGTGGATACCGAAGCTGCCACGCCCTTAGGGATGCGGCCCGGGCGGTGGCTGCAGGGGGGACAGCGGGGGAGCAGGGTTGTGGCTTAAGCGGCGCGGCCCCGCCCTGAACCAGGATCTTGCAAGTTAGCATTTCCCCTCTACCCCCACTCATTGCCCAAGAACGCACGTTTCAAGTTGCAGACTTTTAAAAACTACCACTGTGTACTCTAAGGCCCTAGAAAAGGATGAACGCGATTTCCCCAAACTTTGAGAAAGTTTCCTAGCCCCCTCTGGCGGGCTGCCAGCCAATGGGCCTTGGAGGGAGCGAGACAAAGGGATCGTAGAGTCTCCTCCGCGGTGGGGTGGTGGCGGGCGTCTCGCAGGTCGGGGTGGGCCACAGTGATTGCTTTTCCACGCAGAGGCCAAGGTCCCGCTAAAACTTGCCTAGGACAGCAGGTCTAAGAGCCACAGTTCGTTGGTTGAGCGCGGAGGTGGCGCAGCAACTCTCGGTCTGCGCCAAGACTGGGTGTTTGGGTGTGGTCGCCCCGCCCCTGGCGGTTTCCCGGTTCCCCTGTGGTTAATCTGAAACTGTTTCAGGTTGCAGGAGGAGATGCTTCAGAGGGAGGAAGCCGAGAGCACTCTGCAGTCTTTCAGACAGGTTGGTAGATTCCGTTACCACTCGAAGCCACCGGACGCCACCCGCCCACAGAACCCACGGGCAATTCTAAAAGTTCCTTAACCCAAGTCTAAATCATACAAAACTTCACGTCTACGCGCCAAGCCCCCTAGTGGCAGAGAGACCGCAGTTCTGGATAAAAGCCCTTGAGTGATTAAACCGTTCAGTAGGACATGGTCTTTAACATTTTAAAATTTGTTTCTTTTCCCAAGAAATCATTTTTTTCCCGTTATGTGTTTGCAACACGTTGATATTTTTATATTGAAGAGTTACAGTTTGATTTAGGTTGCGGTTTTGCCAAAGTTTACTATCTTTTACAAGGGCCACAAAAAGCACAATTCTGCCCTGTAGTTTTAGGTGTGAAATGGATTGGAGGATAGGAAACTTAGTGTAACTGAACTTCAGCCAGAAATTTTCGTTTCTTCCGGGCAAGTTCTATTGTGGCCCCAAGGTTAGACAGAAGTATTGCTATGCACAACTAATTTGTGATCTAATAAGGATGAAAAGGAGCCATCTGTCCCCTTGGCTGAAAGGTATTAATGGTTTCTCCGGGCTTCACTATGGAATGTATATACAGACATTCTGGCAAGTGTGCTGGCTCTGGTGAGAAAGAATAGGAGTCTTTGTGTTCCTGGAGACGCTTTGCAACAGGCTACATTCTTAGTGAATATGTAATGATGCAAGCACTGTTCTAATCGGACACAAGTATTTGCTAACATCCCGTTATCTAATATCTGGCCCAGACTCGAAATATGTGATGTGAAAAGTTCTTAAAGCTGCAGTCCTACCTCACATTTGGAAAGGCCTTCCTTTTTTGAATCCTTGTATTCTTTAGTATTTTCTCTATAAAGAATAAACCTAAAAATGAAGGATAGGATTTTAAGAAAAATGGTTTTCTTGCTCTAAAGGTAGATGGCCTTTAAGGATTTTTTAACTTAAAGTTGGATCCCAAAGAAGGCTAGTTGCCAGCAGTTTTATTCTCCTGAACACTCACTGGGACTGGCTCTAAAAGCTCCCTCAGGCAAATAGTCTAGAATACATTTTGAAGCAGAAATGCATTTATCAAGTTAAACACGGAAATGTGTGGTTTATTTCAGTCATTGAGCATTTCTGATCATCACGTCTGCAATGTTTTCTTCCCCGGTAGTAACTTCATATAAAACAACATTAGTATAAATTGTTCCTCCTATTTAGGGATTAGATAAAACCACTCATATTCTCTTCAAACAAGTATAACAACACATAGAACTTTTGAAAATTGAGAATAGTAAATTATCTTTTGCAGGGATTAACAACAAGCAAAAATGATTTTTTCCCCAAGATGGATTATTTTATTATCACCCCTTTCTCATATACTTTTCCGTGAAGGTGATAGAAACAGGTCAACATTTTAAGACTAACCTGGACTCCAAATATAACTGTTTACAAGATATGTGAAGTGAAAGTCGCTTGTGACCCCATGGACTATACAGTTCATGGAATTCCCGCCAGAATACTGGAGTGGGTAGCTTTCCCTTCTCCAGGGGATCTTCCCAAAGCAGGGATCAAACCCAGGTCTCCCGCGTTGCAGGCAATCTACCAGCTGAGACACAAGGAAAGCCAGCTTACAAGATAAGAGTATAAAAATCCTAAAGACGTTCCCTGAGGGGAAATAAAATCTCTCCACCAGTGTACACATGGTGGAAACATAGGAGGAGACCAGAGCAGTAAAAATTTTACATATGGTATGTGCATGTTGATTAGTCATTCTGAAACAGGCTAAGGAACTGAATTGACACAGTACTAAGTGAAAAAGATGTGGACACACCCTTGTGGAATGAGATAAGTGACTTTCAGGAGAAAAATCTACCAGAGAAAGCAAAGCAAATACAGTTCAGGGTTACACTTCTTTTTCTTTATTTGGCTGAACCACATTTTTGCAGTGTACATCCTGAATTGGAATAAAGACCTAGGCTTGTAACTTGAATGTCAGATGACTTGCTCGGGATCCCGAGAAAAAGTTTCAGAAGATTTGAAGAGACAAAGAGAGAGCTTAGGTATTACGTGCTGAAACTTCAGGAGCACAAATTTCTGTTCTGCATGTTCTCATGTATACATGGAGGTGTGAAATTGATCAGCTCCTGTTATTCTATCAATATCATTCCGTAATGTTACCCCTGCCTCAAAAAAATTTAAAATCCTGTGACACTGATTTTCTAGATTTAAAAAAGTAATGAAAACTTCACTGATACTATGGGTTCAATAATGATTGATTGCAGGCTCCCATGTTGGCATACACTTATTTTTAAATATTTATTGGTCACCTTGAGTACAGCTCAATGGATCACAATGGAAATTTGTTAATGAAGAGAAGAAAACAGTATATTGGAGCCCTGGGTGATTTACAAACTTATTTAAAGGTTATAAAATCTGTCAATGCCCTTTTCATAGTAAAGAGGCTAAGTTTGTCTGGTTCATTTAAAATGAATAAATGGGGTAAGCCACAGACTTTATAGCATCTTCCTCCATGTCCTGTTTTTTTTTTTCTTTTTTCAAAACAGGATGTTGACAATGCCTCTTTGGCACGTCTTGACCTGGAGCGTAAAGTGGAATCCTTGCAAGAAGAGATTGCCTTTTTGAAGAAACTGCATGATGAGGTAAGAAGAATCATTGAACGTTTGTGGGTGAAGCCGCTCCCGTTCTTGGCATGGCTGACCTTCTGTCTGTCTGTCCTCAGGAAATCCAGGAGCTTCAGGCCCAGATTCAAGAACAGCACGTGCAAATCGATATGGATGTTTCCAAGCCTGACCTCACGGCTGCCCTGCGTGATGTCCGTCAGCAGTATGAGAGCGTGGCCGCCAAGAACCTTCAGGAGGCTGAGGAATGGTACAAGTCCAAGGTACAGACAAGCTAGTGTGGCCAGAACAGATGGAAACCCTGCTTTTGCTCTACCTCTCTGGGGTTCCTCAGTACCTTTTAGTGCCCTAGCTTAGCTGGCTTTTCTTCTTGTTCAAGTTTTATTTCTTACTGCATTCCCCACCTTTCCCCATCCTTTCCCACTGCCATCTGTCACCCTGCTTCCAGGTAACCCCCAAACCATGCTCTTGACCTCCGCCCTCTGCAAATGAGGGCAGCAGAGTGAATTTCTGCTTGAAAATCTCAACATCCACCTTCCACCTCATTTTCTCTGGTTATCAAAACAAGTTTAAACATATCCTGGAAGATGTTGATTTTGGAACTTTGAGTATAAAATTTGGTTGGCATCATGCCTTATTTACTTTATTTGTTTGTTCACCATCTTTAAGCTTTCTCATTTATCCCGGCCACGTATCATTTTGAGGATCTGTGGATGAGGCCTGTGGCTGACCCAGGTTTCTGCTTCCTCCCTGACAGTTTGCCGACCTCTCTGAAGCTGCTAACCGCAACAATGACGCCCTGCGCCAGGCCAAGCAGGAGTCGAATGAGTACCGTCGGCAGGTGCAGTCTCTTACCTGCGAGGTGGATGCGCTCAAAGGGACTGTGAGTATCATACTTCATGAAGAGAAGGCAGGTGACCAGCTTGTAGACATTCAGCTGGCCAATCTGAGGGTGCTATTGGAAGAAAATTTTGTTCAAAGGGAGAAAAACTGGCATTTTAATCCAAAGAAAATGATTCCGTTCAGATTGATTCAAAAAGAACTTGGAGATCCCAAGGTTTTGATTTACCTATATTATTGTTTCCACTAGGAAGGAACCTGGTACATTATTTTCCACCAAAAGTTGGAGTTTTTCCCATTTGGTACGAGGGGAAGTGATTGCAGATAGTTTGGAAATGGTTGGGGTTGTTGTTGTTTAGTCACTCAGTTGTTTCAACTCTTGGTGACCCCGTTTGGGCTTTCCCAGGCAAGAACACTGGAGTGGGTTGCCATTTCCTTCTCCAAAGGATCTTCCCAACCCAGGGATCGAACCTGAGTCTCCTGCACTGGCAGGCGGTTCTTTACCACCGAGGTTGGGAGAATAGCTGTTTTCGTTTGTTTCTGGGAAATAACGCCAGCCACCTTTCTCATCTTTCCTGCAGAACGAGTCTCTGGAACGCCAGATGCGCGAAATGGAAGAGAACTTCTCTGTGGAAGCTGCTAACTACCAAGACACTATTGGCCGCCTGCAGGATGAGATTCAGAACATGAAGGAAGAGATGGCCCGTCACCTGCGTGAATACCAAGACCTGCTGAATGTCAAGATGGCGCTCGACATCGAGATCGCCACCTACAGGAAGCTGCTGGAAGGAGAGGAGAGCAGGTAGGGAACAGGGCTCCTGGGAGTGAATTCCTAGCTGCCCTGGGCTGGGTATTGTGCCCCTCGTTTTCACCATTCATTTCATCTTCAGACCCTTTCTGATTCAAGGTAGCTCCTGACCACTCTTTACATATGAGAAATCTTCAGTTCAGAGAGACTGAGTTCCTTGTCCTAGTTAGTTCGTTACCCAAACTGGGATCTGAACCTGCAATTGATTCCGTGAAAACCAGTAGTCATGCTATAGTACTTCCAGTCCCTTGTATGAAATGCTTGGAGTAAAATATTTAAATGTACTAATGAGACCAATCATGGGTTAATGCTTCTAAAGCAAATCCGTCACCAGTGAATTATAAGCAGGAGTTTTCTTAATTGATGAAAATAAGAACTGTATAAATTTCTCTTTGTTTATGAAAAATGTGACTGTTTTTCTTTTTATAGGATTTCTCTGCCTCTTCCAAACTTTTCTTCCCTGAACCTGAGGGGTAAGCATTTGATTATCCTTTATGAAAATTTTTATTCATTTATTTATTTATTTGACTGATCTCTGTGACATGTAGGATCTTAGTTCCCCGACCAGGGATTGAACTTGGGCCCCCTGCAGTGGAAGCATTCCTAAATATTGGGCTGCCAGGGAATTTCCTATGAAACATTTTAGCAGCTTTTAGCCATTCTGCTTATAAAACACTCATTTTTAAAACTGAAAAATGCCATAAAGAGAAAATTCTCTAGGACAGCCATAATTTTCAAACAAATACTGTTTTATATTCTGTACTTCCAGTTAAATTAAAACTCCATTTTTCTTCCTCCTGATGGAGTAAACACTAAAACAGTCCATCCCATCCTGATGTCTCAGTAACATTAGCCCCTGGGCTTGAAAACAGGTGATAATCTTTTAGAATTATTTTGGGAATAGTGCCTTAAAACAACTATGAACAAAAACCATAATTTTTGGACAAAATTGTTTCTTTTTAAAAATTTCATTTTTACTCATTTTGCACCTATTTTCTTTATTCAGAAACCAATCTGGATTCACTCCCTCTGGTTGACACCCATTCAAAAAGGACACTTCTGATTAAGACGGTGGAAACCAGAGATGGACAGGTTGGTATCTTTAAATCAAAAAGAAATAATCTCATGCCAGCATTGGTAAGCCTTTAAATCCATAAATCTTTGTCAGATACAGGTAGCTAATTTGGGAGGTTTGTTTCAATCATGCCTCCTAAAAGGAGAATAGTACTTCTTCCAGCCAGTACCCACATCCAACTAATTATTTGGCTCCTAGATGCGAAGGTGAGATAATAGTCTGCCTTTGTCCAAAATTAGTGATTTACTTTGGTGCTTAATTTGAAACAGGAGTACAGTTTCCTTAAGTTAATTCCTAATCTAGATTCATAAGACTGTGTCATGGATTCATATTGACTATGTCAATATTAGGAATGTTTTGATCCTGCACATAGGGCCTTCTCTGGACACTCCTAGACCCTGTCATGGTGTGATACAAAGGCATGGCATATGACTAAGTAGTTTCTCACTACCTCTCTGTGCCAGGAAAGACAAGGTCAAAATGTATGGTAATCTTCAAGTAATCTTCCCCTGCACATCAGATGTATTTGTTATACATTTTAGTATGCTTTAATTGTAAATTTTGCTGCTGACGATTATTATGGCATTCTTCTTCACACACACAGTATTTTTAAGTCATAGCATCCTATCGGATACATATTTTGCCTATAGGTGAAAAGCATCTTACATATGTCTCTATCCCCAGTGTCTGTGAGCCTTTTCATACAGAACCAATATAATCTTCCAATTTTCACAATAAATTATATCCGTATCCTGGGATTTTTCTTTGACAGGCTTTATGGGATCATTTCTTCATTAGTATGTGGTACTGTATTTGATTTGAGTTCTATTTTTCTTAACAGGTTATCAACGAAACTTCCCAGCATCACGACGATCTGGAATAAAAACTGCACATACTCCGTGCAGCAAAATACTACCAGCAAGAAGGAAAAAAAAATTCATATCTTAAAGAAACAGCTTTCAAGTGCCTTTCTGCAGTTTTTTCAGGAGCGCAAGATAGATTTGGAATAGGAATAAGCCCTAGTTCTTGAACCAACACCCGTAAAAGATTTAGAGAAAAGTTTACAACATAATCTAGTTTACCGAAGAAGCCTTGTGCTAGAATACTTTTTAAAAAGTATTTTTGAATACCATTAAAACTGCTTTTTTCCATCAAGTATCTGACCAACTTGTTTCTGCTTCAATAAATCTTTGGAAAACTCTGTTGGTATCTTACTTATTTGATAATATCTAAATAATTCACTAAATTTCATGAGAATATTTGTGTTTTGGTTAAGTATTTTTTTGTCATATTGGTCAAACTGCCACAAAATCAAGGTTGGGTTAACTTGAGAAATTCAACTTTATGCTTGAAACTGAGTTTTTAATTTGGTCATTTTAGGTAGACCTTGCTTCTTTGCAATTCAATTGCTTTTTAAACTTACAAATAGATGTTGTAAAATAACTCGCAATGACACTAGGTCTTTCCATAAAATGAGTTCAGCTGGGTGCATATCCATGTGTGATTACAGCTCTAACAGACATCCTAAAACGAAAAACCTGACCAAAATGAAAAGTGCGTTTTGGTATGTGCAGCATGAGTGGCACAAACTCTACTCTGGGGGTTAAAGCGTAGACAACAGCCAGGATGTAAGGGCTGCATCTTCCATTAGCAACACAGAAATGGAACAAATTCATTTAGTTTCAACACCAGGAACTACCCAGTTTTTCTGTGTGTATATCTATATGTGATGCCTAAATGTATATATCTGCATGCATGCGTGAGCACAGTCAAGCCCGACTCTGCAACCCCATGGGCTATAGCCCTCCAGGCTCCTCTGTCCATGGGATTTCCCAGGCAAGAATACTGGAGTGGACAGCCATTTCCTACTCCAGAGGATCTTCTTGACCCAGAGATGGAACTATGTCTCCTTGCATTGTTTAGAAGATTCTTTCCCACTGAGTTACTTGGAAAGCCCAAGTGTATTAATATAACATGTATCTACTTACAGGTATGTTTAAAGACTTGTGCTTGAGGAACTGATGGTAGACACAGAATAAAGGAAAATTCTTACCTGTTCCTTGGGCAATAAAATTAACACGGGGTACAATGATGCTAATCTCTAATCAGCTTTCAAAATCTGGAGCAATGAGCTTGAAGTGCTGTGGTCATGAAAAACTTCCTATACGTCACACAATGTGAGCAGAGTTTAGGAAGAGGGATAAAGTTTAGATAAATAAAAGAGGGAGGGTGTGGCCTGGAGGCATATGAGTTCTAATGTCCCATTGTGTGCTTTGGAGGAAAATTTCCTCTCAGCAAGAAGTTCCTAGACTTCTTTAAGTCCCAATTTCCTGTGTTACTGTGATTCCCTCTCCTCCAGGAATGCTGTGGTAGGCATTCCTTTTAATTAACGATAACCCTATGTGCAAAACAGAAAAAGAGACTCCTATGTATAGAACAGACTTGTGGACTCTGGGAGAAGGCGAGGGTGGGATGTTTCAAGAGAACAGCATTGAAACACGTATATTATCTAGGGTGAAACAGTTCACCAGCCCAGGTTGGGTGCATGAGACAAGTGCTCGGGCCTGGTGCACTGGGAAGACCCAGAGGGATTGGGTGGAGAGGGAGGTGGGAGGGGGGACCGGGATGGGGAATACATGTAAAAAAAAAAAAAAGATACACTATGGTTGTGATTAAATAAATAAATAAATAAATAAAAAGAAAAGAAAAAAAAAATTATTTTCTTTCTTTCTTTTTTGGCCACTCAGCATGAGGGGGGCTCTTAATTCCTCAGCCAGGAATGGAACTCATACCCCCTGCAAGAGAAGTGCAGAGTCCTAACTACTGGTCTAATCAGGGAAGTATCTCCTTGTAATTTTTAAGTGCTTGCATCTGTCTCTCTGTAGAGTTGATGGAGGACAAAGTAAGATGGTTTCCACTTTGTTTACTCAAAGGCCAGGCACTGTGCTAAGTCACATTAGCTATGATTTTCATCATTTTTTATGGTGGCCGCTGCGTGAGTAAAGAAAGAACTGGCCTGGGAAGCGACCTCTAGTCAAGTTTACATCCTTGTCTGTGTGGGATGGTCTTGGTTTATGCTTACTGATTAACAACGCCCCCTTTTCAGACTCACAAGTGTACTAATTTGAACAACAGATTCCACCTATTAGTCATCCTACCCTTAGCATAATATCACAGGGAAAGGGGTTACTGCTGTGATTCCTGGAGTGGTCCTGCACCCCATACCTCACCCCACCCCCATATTTGAACAACTGACGTGTGTATCACCAGAGGAAATAACCAGGTGCTTGGACCCTGAAGAAACTTTGATTTTTTGTTGCTGCTGTTGTTCTTTAGCCATTTTCATCACATCCCTCTCAGCCTCCTAGCCATATTTTTTCTGTCTCATCATTTGTACTCTACCTTTGGCTTATGAGGGAAATGCAGAGAAGACACCAGGCCCACACTGGTTTTCTTCAAGCATGTCACTTTCATATTAATAAATAAATAAAGCTTAGTTTCCCTTGTGTCCCTCAGCCCCGGGAAAAAGGAACCAAGATGACAAGTTCTGCCAAATATCTTGAGACTAGTGGGCTCCCCACCCTCAAAATTCCCTTACAACTCTTTCTAAAAATCACCTCCCCGAAACGAAAAAGATGAGCTCATCTCCCTTATCTCCAACTGTCAGAAACCAGCCTTTTGTGGGAAAAACAAAAAAACCCCAGGGCCCACCTTACAGGAATTCAAATCTATGTAAGTCTTCTTAATTTTTATCATTAGTCCTACTGTTAGTGTTGTCCTTACCTTCCACTTTGAAAAACTAATAAAAAGAAAGGATGTTCTCACCACCTACAATGAAACAAAGATGAATGCTTGGTTCTTTTATGCATAACATTAATCCTAGATTAAAGGAGATTTAAAAAAAAAGTAGGGATGGGGAGAAGAGAATGATGCATAAAGTGTGAAGTCTCGAGAAAGTGACCAAGAGGACGGTGCAGTCTGTGGAAATAATGTGAAAATTAAGTCTTTCTGAGGTTTCTCACCATCGTGACAGATGGCAGAGGTGCCTGGTGACTGAGACAAACGGTCTGACTCAGTTACAGCATTTCTGATGTGAGCCAGCCCTATCTCCCCATGACCAGCCTCTGACAAAGACGTTAGGAGACAAATCTCCTTCCCAAGGCTGTGGGACTGAGGGGGGTGGTGGGTGTGAGGTGAGGGGGAAGGGCAGGGGGACAGTAGCTTCCCCTGGCCTCTTCCTGAAGAAAACAAGTTTGAAACAGACACTTTGCCCCAAAGAAGGCTCTCACTCCAACCTGCCAGGCTTCAGCTGAAAAAAGGGTCTCCATATATCCACTGGGGCGGGACATAACAAAGTACCACAGAACGAGCGGCTTCAACTACAGAAATGAATTTTCTCACAGTTCTGCAGGCTGGACATCCAAAGTCAAGCTACCAGCAGTGTTGGTCTCTTCTGAGAACTCTCCCCTTAGATTATCTCTTCTTATAATGAAATCAGTCATAATGGATTAGTAACCACCTGTAGGACCTCATTTTATCTGAATCACCTCTTTAAAGACACTATTTCCAAATACAGTCACATTCTGAGTTAATGGGGGATTAAATGGCAGCCCACTCCAGTGTTCTTGCCTGGAAAATCCCATGGATGGAGGAGCCTGGTTACAGTCTACAGACTACAGTCCATGGGGTTTGCAAAGAGTTGGACACGACTGAGAGACTTCACTTCACACAAGACACCAACATAAGAATAGCAGAAGGGGTTCGGCGGGGTGGGGGAGGGGGAACCTGGGGACAAAGGACACAAATTCAGCCCTTAACAGGGTCACTGTTAAACACTGGGAGACCAACCTCCTTGTCTGTACTTGAAATAGGTTTGTGATGGAGGTTTGCAAAAGGCCCTAAAGCTTGCAAAGTCAGTGATGGTGAATACACTGCTTAAAGACTTGTGGCCACATGTGACCGGTCAATGTCTCTGGTTTTTTTTAAACCCCCTCTCATGGTAGAGAAGAGTTTGAGATAAATGCTCCGGAGACTTGCTCCACACAGTTATCCTATAAGGCGAGTATTTCTTTTAGGGCAGGGTAGAAGGTGAGCAGACAACCATGGATGGCTCTGGGGAAGTCAACAGAATCTAACAGGCTGTTCTCAGATGAAGATTCTCTTCAGTCCAAGAAGACTAGTCTAAAGCTCCAGACTCATAGGAAGTTCAGGTTCCCTGTATGTGTCAGGCGCTCACTGGGTGTTGGCTGGACAATCACAAAGTCAGATCCTTTACTGAGTTCATAGTCTACCCATTAACTGGAGAAGAACAGAGCTTTGTACTGAATGGTCATGTCCCCTCCTCAAATTCATATGTTGAAATCCTAACCCCCAGCGTGATGGCTTTCGGAGGTGGGGCCTTCGGAAGGTGATTAATAAATTGTGGGAGGTAATTCATGAGGTGGAGCCCTCTTGAGTGGGATTAGTACCCTTATAAAAAGACACAAAGAGCTTGCTTTCCCTCTATTCTGTGTTCCAGCCTGTGAGGATAAAAAGAGAAGCCCTAAAGAGCAGGGGTCCCCAAGCCTTGGGCTGTGGACAAGTGCCAGGCCTGTTAGGAACCAGGCTGTATGGCAGTAAGTGAGCAGCAAGTGAGCAAGCAAAGCTTCATCTATGTTTACAGCCACTCCCCATTGCTAGCATTACGGCCTCCTCTCATTATCAGTGGTGGCATTAGATTCTCATAGGAGGGAACTAGGTTGCATGCTCCTTATTATGAGTATCATCCCCAAACCATCCTTGCCCCTCCCCCCAACCCCAGATCCATGGAAAAAATTGTCTTCCTTGAAACTGGTCCCTGGTGCCAAAAAGTTCAGGACTGCTGATCTAGAGGAAGCAGGTTCT